ATTGCCAACAACTCCCAAAATCTGTTCTCCCAGTGAAGAACTCTTGCCCAAGCTCCAGATGCTCTCAGGCATCTCAAACTCAGCACAGACAAAAACTAAATTTTTCCTTCTGGTACAAAAGAAAAAGATAAATGTAAGAAAGACTCTGAGATCATATAAAGGAAAAGCAAATAGAAATTAACCCAGAACAATGGCAGACAGTTTTCAGTGATTTCTTTAGGTACAGCTTTTGTATTTTGTATTTCTCCTTGAAGGTAATAGCAGTAAAACTTTAATGCTGTGCTTCTTGTGCTGGGCTACACAGTAGTGTGTCAAGGTCTATGTGAAGCTACAGTGTGAACAAGCTCAGCTTCCTAGAGTATCGACTTTGACAGAAAGCTTGTATGTGTGTAATTTACAATATTTAACTTGTAAGAATGAAAACCATTTTTTTTTATATTAAACACATATAATGGGACAGAGAGAAAATGTCAGAAAAGTTTAAACTTTTTTTCCTCCAAATATAAGCACACAGACCATTTCTATTAAGGCAGCTCAAATTTAACTACTAAATTCATGTCCCAGGGTCAGAGGAGAGCTATAATATGCCCACGCATTTAAGGGCATAGAGAGGAAAAGCCTAAGGGTACAGACATTACCCAGCAGTGAACAATGGACAACCAGCATTGCAGGAAGTTCTTTTTCAGATGAAGTGGGAGGAAACCGGGGCAGGGAGGAATTACTGAGCCCAACCAAAATGCAGAGCGAGGCTGACAAACTTAGTACAACACACTGATTCAGTCAATAGACATTTATAGATGCCCATATTGTCCCACATTCTCTATTGTGTGGCACCAGAGTAAATTAGATGTGTCCCCCCACCCCCAAGGAGTTCACTCTCTAGTAATGGGTGCTGAACAATGTAATTGTGCCATTGCTACAATGAAGGATGTACAGCATGAAACTGGACCATGGGAAACATGCCTAGCTTCGATTGGGGGAATTCAGAGAATACTTCACAAAAGAGGCATCATTTCAGCTTTTGGCTAAAACTTGGAAAATGTATAGGTGTCTTCTGCCTGTAGGTTGGCTAGAAATATTTCAGGAAGTTGGGATATGAAATGTGTGGGAAATGAATTAGACACACACATTCTTGACAGTCATCATGAGCATGTAAATCCCTGGAGAGCCCATTTCTTTCGTCTTGGTATACTCAGCAGTATAGCTGAGCACTGTCACTGTATAGTACCATAGTTATTGGTTTTGTAAAGTTCAGCTAGAGTTGAATATGGACATGGCTTACTCCTCCTCACTTAATAAACATATATTGAGCACCTATGATGAATTTGGTCCTTTGGTAGGAATAGAGTTATCCAGAAGATTGAGTCCTCGGTTCCTGGCTTTGGGAGCTCAGCTGAATGGAGTCGGTGAAGCAGACAAGCACTTGCAGGACAGTGTGATGAATGCTCTAATAGGCATATGCCCAGAGGACTGTAACTGCACTCAGGTGGGGACCTAGCCCTGTTTGGAGGGTTGTGTGAAGTTTCGAGGTAGCCTCAAAAAAGTGACTTCTGAGGAGAGAATCGAAAGATAAGTAAGAGGTTTTGTGACATAGGGCAAGCTATACTAGAGGCAACCTCACGTACAAAGGTCTGATATGTTTAGAGAACAAGTAGTTTCCTATGAAGGGTGGCAGCAAATAATGGTGGAAGAGGCTGAGTGGTGGCTGTGCCAGGCCATAGAATGCCTTTGTGTCATGAGAAAAATCTGGATTTTATACAGCAAAGGCAACGGTGAGTCACTGTAATAATGGTTCAGATCAGTGTTTTTCAAAGAGCAGGTTGTAATCCATTAGTCAGTTGTACAATTATTTTGGTGAATTGGGATTGGCATTTAAAAAATAGTAACTAGAGAAGAGTTGACAGTATTAGTGTGCATCATATTTGTTAAGGTAAACAATGTTTTGTGATGCCTTTGTTTCAATTACATATATGTGAACAGTGTTCTAATGTAAAGAATTTTTTGATCTGTGGGTTTTGAGAAACACTAGTCTAAAGGTTCAGTGGCACAAATTAATACCTCAAATTACTTTTGTAGCAATTAACAGAAAACCCGTGCAAGTGGGAATAATCACTAAAGATTATTACTGTATAAGAGTTTCTTCTAGTTATTCTGACCTGACATTCTGTCATCTTCAGACTAAAGCCAGTTCCCCATGGCTCTCAGAATAACATGCTACCTTATTCTTATCCACTCAAGTAGAGACCAGATTCTTATTGCTTCAAATTAGTTTAGGCCCGTCCATCCCTGAACCCATTAAGGGCAAGGGGATGGAAATACTAGGACTCCCTTAGACTAATGAATGTTTGGGAACCAATTGCTGTAGCTGTAGGGAACTATGATGCAATGTGGCAAATTCAGTGCATTATGGAAATACTGTAGCAGGACCCCGGTTTACAAAGTAATGAATTTAGGTGCGGGGATGGTCAGAGGAGCCACCCAGATGCCAAGAGTCTGTGTACAAGTTAGGTAGGTGAAAGGGGGAGAGTTCTCTGGGTGATAGAGACTGCATGAACAAAAGGTGGTAAGGGGAGCTGTGTATAGGAAAAGTCAAAATAAGGACTTCCGCACTTCCTGAGCATAAAATTAGAGGCAGGGAAGTAAATGGAGTAGTGAACAGATGCCTAGTCACCAAGGGGATCATGGTAAGGAACCAGAATTTTTTCCCCATAGGAAAGGAGGATGCACTGGAGATCATCAAGCAGAGAATTAAGACATCAGATTTCTATTACTTCATCTGCAGTGCGGAGGGAGGAAAATTAGGAGGCTTTTGCAGTAATCCAGGATAGAGATGTCTTGGATTTCAGGCTAGGAAGAGGTGACTGCAGATTTGAGAAACATTATGGAAAGAAAACCAAGGCTTGCTCATTTGACTGTAGAGTAAGTGTAAGTAAACAGTGCCTGGCTTTTGCAGTTGTGTCTCCTTTGGATATTGGGCTTATATTGTGTCACTGATTTGTTGAGGCTGGAGTAAATTTGTTATTTTTTGAAGGAAGTGGACATAGCTGTCAACCTTGCCATAAAGAACCAGAGCCCAAGTCAGAGAACCTTTGGAACTCCAGTGTATCTGGGCCCCTCTTGTGGGGGGTTGGAATTTCTTAAAGAGGTGCTTAGATGGATTTGAGGGCATAGTGCACTCAAGTGAAAAGTTACCATTTATAGGCCAGATTAGAAAACTGATACATTGTTGTTTATTTCCCTTATGCTATCCCTGAGCCTCTAGTAAACATTTTAGGACTCATGTAGTCTTTTATGGGCCAAAATATTAAAGATGCAGTGTCCCATGAGGCCATTGTGGCAGGAGAAGTGGCGCTTTAGATTGTGAGCTCCTTAATGGCAAAGGTTGTTTCTTCTCATCTCTAGATCCTTAGTATCTAGCCTAGGGCCTGACATACGCCAAACACTTGATAAAGATTGTATTCCTAGTGACTAAAATGATGCTAGATACTAGCAGATGCTTATTAAGCATTTAAGGAACTGTTGAAAGCCCCAAAGGGAGGTCTGTTTCTGGGGACTAAGAGGAAAAGCTATGCGAGTTGAGCCATAACCCACCTATGGTAATACTTAACAGATGTGGTTTTAATTTTAAAGAAAGTACTTTCTCGGGGCGCCTGGGTGGCTCAGTCAGTTATGACCCCTTTGGCTTGTGTCATGATCCCAGGGTCCTGGGATCGAGCCCTGCATTGGGCTCCTTGCTCTGCGGGGAGCCAGTTTCTCCCTCTCCTCCCCGCTTGTACTCTCTCGCTGTCTCTCCTCTCTCTCTCTCAAATAAATAAATAAAATGTTAAAAAAAAAAAAAAAAAGAATCAGGGATGACTCCCGAGATATCTAGCTGAGGTGAATGTTCATGCCAAGAGGACAGGAAGGAGGTGAATTTTGGGGAAGCATTCAGAATTGTAGGTTTTGGGAATAAATGCTTTGAGTGTCTACTATATGTCACTCAAAATATGTCAGAAAGAGCTTTCTGGCAATAGCGTGAAAGACAAATTAGAGGGAAAGAGATGGGAGAATCCTGTTGGGAGCAGATGAATCTTAAGACTCAAGCAGCTGCAGGGAAAGAGAACAGAACAGCTCTGTCCCTGAAGCTAATATCTACCTGCTAAACCAGTGACCCCTTCCATCCTCACCCTTACTTTCTGACAATGGTTGGGTTTAGCAGGCCAAATAAACTCTGAAGGTCCAGCCTAAGATAAAATCTCTTCTTTTCACTGTACTAGAGATATGGGAACTGTCAGGCCTTGCTGCCAAGTGTTCAGGCAGGGATGATAGTTCCAAGTCTTCCATGACTACTATCCTAGTCAAACCTCTGAGCCTGAGGCATGGGCCGCCTGGCTGGGCTAAGTCTGGCTTCACAATAATTAGTGGATATCAAGGAGCTTCCTACTTCTCATATGCTCTGGCCATTCTGAAGCCGGATTTCCCTTTTCTGAGTTCCCAGAGAAGCCCAGTTTTGACAACAATAAAAACTTCCAGGAAATTCCCAGCACATTTAACTTCCTAACCCTCCTCCCACCTCAACTCTCTCTTTATTACCCCACCCCCAACGCCCACTCCAAGAGGAAGGATCTTATCCTTTACTGAATACTTCCACCCCCTTGGCCAGGAAGGTGGTACATCTGAGTTCTCAGATCCTCTCTTCTGAGACCTATTTGGGGCTGAGGCGAGCACATGAGGGTAATATGTGATCCTGCCTAGAAACAGAGGAATAGTTGTAGTGTTCCTTGAAGTTTCCTAAGGCACCAGATTATTATGGAAGATTCAATTCTAGATGTTCACTCTCCTAGCCTGTCAGGAAGTAATCTTTCTCTAAGAAATCCCAGGGGCTCAGTCTCTATGCTAGATGTCAAAAATCAATCACCTTTGGAGGCCAGTTTGGAATTATAGGATATAAGCCCCATAAAAACTGACATTAAGAAAAACAAAACTGCTAACCAAACACAACTCAGAATAAGAGCCAGAAACATAAGCAGTGAATTTACTAACCCACGGAGACTGAGCATTTGGATAGTTCTCATTCTCCAGAAATCCCAAGGGTAGGAAAAAAAAAAACACCCATATACATACATATATTCATACAAAGAATTTTATCTACTGCAAAGAGATGATTATCTGGCTCCCCAGAAGCTTCTTGTCTCCATTAAAACTGTCCATTAACAACTCTAGCTCCAGTTCTTCTTAGAGATTAAAAGAGCTCCAAAGACCTGTGATCATGGGCATTGATGAGCGGGCCACACACCCTCTGGCTCCAGTCAAATCCCTGGTGTTTGAGCTGTGTGGGAGCCGTGGATGCTTGCTTTCTGGTCCTGCCGCAACCCTTGAAGCAGCTGGTTTAGAAGTGTAAGGTCGCTGTCTCTGCGAGGCAGGGGCAGGGGTGGGAGGCAGTTCCCTTTATACTCGATCACTGCCATCTTGGCCCGATCCTGCTTATTCCGATTTGGGATCTGCAGCATTCTCGTGTAGCCCCCATTCTGACCTTGGTACCGAGGGGCCAGTACTTGAAACAACTTTGGGATCAAGTCTTTCTCCTAGAGCGGGAGAGTTATCCAGGAGAGAGCAGAGTCAGGCACTACTGCGGAGACACATTTAACTTTCAGCACTTCCAAAAACAGGGTCCAAACACATTCACACAGAACTCTTCCATCCCCTAACGTGGTAGTGTCAAAGTTACACAGAGGGGTTACAGGCAATTGTGCAGTTTGGTTCACGTAACATTCAACTAACTTAAGTCACACGTTTCTAATTTAGTTTACAACATCTGTCTGTGAGTGTCTTAGCTTAATTCTGCCCAGTTCCCCCTTCCTCTAACAATCCCCTCCCCCACAGGGAGCAAAAGATGAGATTTGGGAGGGAGATACGATGCACTCACCGTAAGCCAGAAGTCAGCCATGCGCATGGCTTGTTCGTTGGTGTCTCCCAGCTTTCCATAGTCGATGAGCTGAGGGGACATAACATCACTGATTCAACCCGAGTGAGAAAGGAGGCGCAATCTTACTTCTCTAATGCGGGACCGCAACCCATTCATTCCACCAGCAAAGCATCCCTCTAATTCAGGCCACTCCTAACTCCGCAGCTCTAACTAGTCGTCCATTTGAGGGGCCGGAGGAGAGGGGTCAACTCAGGGTACCAGGGGATTCAGACTTTGGGCGGGGATTGCCAGGGCTATCCCACTCGTCCCCCAAGTCCAGCCGCATCTCAGGCCTGATGCTCCTGGAGGACAGAAGGGTCCCGCCCCCAACTCACTCGCCTTGCGTGGCCCCGCCCCTCACCTTCTCGGCGTAGCCCCTCATTTCGTCCACGCGCGCCCATGACGCCTCGATGCGTTCGTGTCGCACCAGGCCGGTAAGCAAGTTCCGCAACAGGTGGATGCGGGACTCCGGACCAAGGCCCAGACGGCGGAATACACGGCCATGGGAGATGGCGGCGGCGACGGACAGCCGCATTTTTCCTGACTTCTCTCCGCCCCTGTGAGGCCGGAACTGGAAACTCGAAGGGAGACGCCGAGGAGACGGTTTTGGGAGGACGCATGCGCCGTACCTAGGTGCGTGGTGGACGTGTTTGCGCATGAGTATCAGAGCCTGCCTCGTTGGCAACCTGGGGGAGGGCGGAGAAGAGGTGTTGGCTTCTTCCAGAGGAGGAGAGCGAGGCGGGCCTCGGGCACTCCTTGTCGCTCCGGGGAACCAGGCGCCCCCTAGTGTGGGACGAAGCGGCCGTCGAGTTTCTCCTGGGCTGCGTCAGTCATCTTGTGGCCTCTAGGGCGACAGGAAGCGCCGCGGAGCCTGCTGGGAAAGTGAGTATCTGAGGGGAAGGCCGCCCCCCCGGAGGAGTCGGGGCGCTGTAGCCGGTGGCCCAGCCAAGTCCGAGCGGTGGCGAGCCCGCGTGTCTGACACCCCGAGCGTGTCTTTTTGTCACAAAATTATTTTCCGCAATAATGGGGAGATGAAACGAATAACAGTGATGCTCAGAAAAGAAGCGCAGTTAACTGAACATTTTCTTTTGTTGAAGTACATATAGTAACCATCCCAGTTAGGAAGTACAGCAAAGGAAAAGTAATGGGTTAATACTTTTTAATTACATCCGTGTATTTTTTTTAAAAGGTGAGAAACATACCTATGCATTTGTGTTAATGTGTAGTAGCGTTCTAGTTTCTGTTTTTGAGTCTTAATGTCTGCAAATTGGCAGACACTTTGCAGTCACTTTGTCAAAATTACTCCTTGTTGTGGGTTGAATTGTCTTCCCCTGCCCCGCCCCCAGAAAGATTAAGCCCAAACCCCTCCCAACCTCCACCGCACTCCCCTCAGAATATGACCTTATTTGGAAATAGGATTATTGCAGTTGCAATTAATTATTAAGATGAGGTCATACCGGAGTAGAGTGGGCATCTAATCCAAATGACTGGTGTCCTCAAAAAAAACAAAAAACAAAAAAACCACAAGTGGAGAGACAGACACACAGAGTGAAGACAACCATGTGAAGACTAGAGACACACAGGGAGAATGCCACGTGACCAAGAAGCCAGAGATCCCAGTTAGGCAGTTGGGAGCCAAGGATCGGCAAGGATTTCTGGCAGACACCTGAAACTAAGAGAAAGACATCGAACAAAATTTTCCCAAGATTCTTGAAAGAATTCATGGCCCAGGTGTCACACTGATTTTGGACTTCCAGCCTTCAGGACTATGAGACAATAAATTGTAGAGCAGTGTATTAGTCTCCTAGGGTTTTAGGAGACTAATAACATGTTCATGTTCAGTAGATAGCACACTTAGATTTGTCACTCTGTCCTCGCTCATAGGTGACCAGAGAACACTTCTTGTTAATTTTAATTTTGAAAAGTTTTTTTTTGTCTGAAGTAGTTAGGAAAAGTCTTAAACATATGGATATGTTGGCATAGATTTATACAAATCCTGTTTCACAATAAATTCCAGAAATTATTATATTGTCTGTGCCTTATTTCTTTGGGATCAATTCTTGCAGCTTTCAGGATTTCCACAATTGAAAATTCATCATAAATTCCTAGTGGTAAAATCTTGTGAAGATTTTCTTCAGCAAAAGTCAAGAGGATGAACTGACACTGTGACATTATTTTATGCATTGCTTTAGAAGAAATGTCCACTTTGTGAAAACGTACAGCACCAGACATTGTCCTTAATTATTTTATTTTATTTTTTTTTTAAATTTATTTATTAGAGAGAGAGAGAGCGCAAGAGGGCTAAGGGCTAGAGGGAGAAGCAGACTCCCCGCCCAGCAGGGAGCCCGATGCGGGACTCGATCCCGGGATCTGGGATCATGACCTGAGCCGAAGGCAGTCGCTTAACCAACTGAGCCACCCAGGCGCCCCTGTCCTTAATTATTTTTGTCCGTGAAAGCCATCATCTCTTGTCTCTTCTGGCAGTCCTCAAATTTTGATTCTTTTTTCTGTCAATTTCCTTATATTTTGTTGTTGCATAGTTATAGCTTTCTCCACAATTTCTGTGAGCTGGTATTCATGGAACAATTTTAAACCTTGGTGTTTTACTGTGTGTTGTTCAAGGCTTATTCTTGTGGTTTGCAGATATTTTTGTGTCTGATTGACCTCATCTGATACATTACCTTAATAAAAAAAATAACTTGGAAAAGAAAAATCTTTTGCAACTAAAATTGTTTATTTTAAATTTACTGTTTTAAAAGTAGGGCTATGTTCTGCTAAAAGGTTAGAGTCCAAAATGCACCAGAAGTGAATTTGGAAGATCACAAATTCTTATGAATTTACTGTGAAAAGTAACATATGTGGCCGAATTTGTGAAATTGGTATTTCCTCAAATTAACTTTTCAGGTAGAATAAAATATTTGTTAGTGAATTAGTTTAAAAAGTGATAATTTGAAGCCTACATAGATAATATAACTCAGCAGTAAGCATAACAACTAGAATTTAGACCAAAAAAAGATTTTTTTTTTTAAAGATTTTATTTATTTATTTATTTGAGACAGAATGAGAGAGAGAGAGCACATGAGAGGGGGGAGGGTCAGAGGGAGAAGCAGGCTCCCTGCCGAGCAGGGAGCCCGATGCGGGACTTGATCCCGGGACTCCAGGATCATGACCTGAGCTGAAGGCAGTTGCTTAACCAACTGAGCCACCCAGGCGCCCCCAAAAAAGATTTTTATGTGAGGGTTATTGTATCACTAACACTGTTTAGCATTGTGTAACGTGATAAAAATCAGGTTGACTTTTGGTTAGTTTTATTGTTTGTTTGTTTGTTTTAAGATTTTATTTATTTATTTGAGAGAGCACGCACACGGGTGGGGGAGGGATAGAGGGAGAAGCAGTCTCCCTGCTTAGCAGGGAGCCAGACCTGGGGCTTGATCCCAAGGTCCTAGGGTCATGACCTGAGCCGAAGGCAGATGCTTAACCCACTGAGCCACCTAGGCGCCCCTAGCTTTGTTACTATTTTAAAATCCTTTACAGATAGTTCACCTCCTTATGGTTTCAGAAGGGCAGATTGCTGCTACCTCCCCACCAGATACCAGATGGCTCTGAGTATCCAGCTGAGCCTCCAAGGAAGGTACTCAGATGAATCTGAGTATTCTGGGGGAGCCAGGACTTGGAGTAACTCTGTTGACAGTCCAAGTTGAGCCCCTGAGGCAGTGTTGGTAGTGACTGTAGCTAGTCGGGCAGAGGTGAGGAAAGTGGTCCTAAGCAGTGTTGTGCAGCAGCTGAAGAAGAAAGACCCCAGTCTATAGAAAATTGTTACACATGAAATTTCATAGCTTCTGCTGGAAGAAGGGGGTTGGACTTGGCCCACACTACTGCAGAGAACCCCAGTGTGATGTTGTGATATAATGTGTGTGTGTGTGTGTGTGTGTGTAGTCTTTGTCCAGGTTCCTGTCACAGAGTGAAAATTTCCTGAGTGATGGGAATGAGAGGGTCTTTTGTTATCATAAAAGCCCCTTTCAACCATACCTGAGTTTATGCTAATGAGGTGTCTCTTGGAGGAGGGGGGCTGGTTAACAGAGGAACTAACCACATGATTAGAGTAATTAGAGGGTTGGTGCTTTCCCTTCCTCTGGGGAGGTTGGAGATTGACCTAATCACCAGTGTCCAATGATTTAGTCAATTGTGCCTGCATAAGACCCCTAAACAATGGGGTTTGGGGAGCTTCTGGGTTGGTGAGCGCATTGAAGTGCCTGGAAGTTTAGCATGTGCCTAGAGAGGGAATGGAAGCTCTGCACCCCTTCCTACATACCTTGCTCTATGCATCTCTTCCATTTGGCTCTTCCTTAGTTGTACTTTTTATATAAACCAGTAATAATAAGTAAAAGTGCTTTCCTGCCATTCTAGCAAATTATCAAATTTGAGGAGGTGATCATGGGAACCCCCGTTTTATAGGTGACAACCTGGGACTTGCAATTGGCCTTGAAATGGGGGACTGAGACCTTAACCTGTGAGGTCTATGCTAATTCCAGGTAGTTAGTATCAGAATTGGCTTGTAGGACCCCCAGTCAGTGTCTTTAAAGAATTAGAGAATTGCCTGGTGTGGAAAACCCGCATATTTGGTGTCAGAAGTGTTTGAAGTAGAGAAGTAATCTTTTTCCTGTACTCTGAATGACTGCATCCTATTCTGTTGAAGCTTCCATGAAGCAATGTCCTGGGAGCCAGTACAGGGAGTTCAGCAAGGGATGTGGTGATGACGGTGGGAAGCAATTGTCAGATCCTAAGCCAACTTGTGGTTCTATCCCTGGAATCCTGATTGTCTAGAAGTATCATAGGTCCTGATTCTTCATGTGTTTTACTTTCAGGTCAGGGTCTTAAAACCTCTTTGGACCCAATGTTCTGGGAAGGATTAGACAAAGATAGAGCCCATGTCTGGTATCAGATAGAATTGTGATCATATTAGAATCAGTTAAAATGAGTTTTCCACAATTAGAGTCATTAGGATATTGAGGATAACTATAAGTCAAACATCCCAGTTGGAAACAAGACACCTTGTAAGCAGTTGAATTTAGGAAAAGAAGTTACTGATATATAGGCATCTAAAGTTGGTGGTGGTCCAGGGCTGTAGAGAGACATAGAATTTGGACAGAAATCAGCATAACTGTCTGTGGGGATATTTCCCTTTGGAAATGATGACTAGCTGTTTCCAGCTTGGCTTACTCTCTTCATGTGGTGTTCTTTCCCCTCCTTGCTTCATTTCCTTGTATTATTAGTGAGATGAACTGCCTCCTGTTGGGATTATAAGGTCCTTCAAGGTCAGGGAAGGACTCTGACTCAGGCATCTCCTCTCCCACTCCTGCTCCTTTACCTCCAGCCTAGTGCTGTGCTTTTTTTTTTTTTTTTTTTTTAAGATTTTATTTATTTAGGGCGCCTGGGTGGCTCAGTTGGTTAAGCGACTGCCTTCGGCTCAGGTCATGATCCTGGAGTCCCTGGATCGAGTCCCGCATCGGGCTCCCTGCTCGGCAGGGAGTCTGCTTCGTCCTCTGACCCTATCCCCTCTCATGTGTTCTCTCTCTCTCATTCTCTCTCTCTCAAATAAATAAATAAAATCTTTAAAAAAAAAAGATTTTATTTATTTATTTGACAGAGAGAGAGAGAGTGAGAGAGGGAACACAAGCAGGGGGAGTGGG